TGGCATGTGTGGCAATATTGTGGCCATTAGATATAAGAGAATTGGTTATTTATTGAGTTATAATTTTTTTTTATAGTTATTGAGCCTAATTTCCTTTTTCAGAAACCACATGCCATAAAAAAAAAATGATTGTGGAAGAAGAAAAAAAACCTAATCCGATCCACATAGTTCCTGATCTACTGGAAGAAATCTTCATTGGTCTGCCATTGAAATCAATCATCAGATTCAAAACCGTCTCAAAACAATGGAGATCAATTCTTGAATCGGAGATGTTCGTGGAGAGGCGTATGAGTCTTAAAAAAAGCCACCAGAAAATTCTGGCTGCTTACAACTGTGACTGTGGGAAACGACCGAGACTCCTCCCCGATTCACGGTCCGAAGGAGACGAAGAGATCGTTTTTCTTCACTGCAACGGCACGCAACAAGCCTCGATGATGACTTGCGACGGTTTCGTCTGCTTCCCCGAACCAGATTGTGTCAACGTTTTAAACCCATTAACCAGACAACTCCGGACATTTCGTTCCTCCCGAGGTAATCTATTATAGATATCATATTTTTTTGGTTTTTGCGTTAATGGGTCATCGAAAGAAATTAAAAAACAAAACTTTCTGTTTTTTGCTTTGATGGGTCATGAAAAGAAAATTAAAATCAAAACTTTTCAGGAACAAGGTCGGGAAATTGGGTCATGGGATTCGGTAGAGACAAAGTTAATGGGAGCTATAAAGTAGTGAGGATGTGTTTTGAGGAAGAAGGGTATCATGTTCTTGATGTTGAATGTGGTAAATGGAGGAAACTGAGTCGACCTCCTTACAAGGTCAATGTGGGAAAGAAATCAGTGTGTGTGAATGGATCAATCTACTGGTTAAAACTTGGGTGGGGTTATTTCAATATACTAGCCTTGAATCTTCACACACGAGAGTTTCACAATGTATCGGTTCCAGATACATGGGTCACGCAAGAAACACATTTAGTGAACCTTGAGGAACGTCTAGCCATAGCCAAAACGAGAACTGGAGCTGAATGGAAACTAGAGATATGGAGTATGGATGCAGAAGAAGAAATATGGAGCAACACTTATTCTATAAGTTTAGATTGTCTAGGTATTAAACCATGGAAGACAACTTGGGGAACTTGGTTCACGCCGGTGACAGTTTCTAAGTTAGGAAATGTTGTCTTCTGTGACAATCACAAGAAGTTGTTCAAATATTACCAAGAAACAGGAAAGATTCATTGTCTCGCCTCAGATATTTGTGTTATATCTCCTTACCTTGAGAATTTGGTCTCACTTCGGTCTGAACTGGGATATCATTCGTATCTGGCAATCATGACATCTAGATGCAGATTGTTTTTGAGGCATCTCGGTGCCAGCTCCGGGATATCCAAGCTTTTGCAAAGGATCAGATTTGGGATCCTAGAAATTGTGTTTATCACTCTAGTTGGGTGTTTCTTGATGTACAAACAATGGGAAAAAAACAACAGTGGAATGGTAAATCCTGCGTAATCCCACTAAAAAGACATCGGTTATGTTGAAGAGGACACTGAAATTATGAACAGACGGAACATGTCTATTTTGATATGATCATGTGTCATGCATCCAACGAATCGAAGTTTATCTTAATCTTCATTTCAATGGTTTGTAATGATACATGTTTGTAATGATACATCATTATAAACAATCATCAATGGTTTGTAATGATACATCTTTAACCTAGATACTCTTTGGGTATCTCA